AAGGAAGAATAGAATGAACATTATTATATAACTTGTGTCACCCTATTATATATACCTCTGGTATTTTTTTTAAATAAATATTTTAATTTAAGTCATTTGAGGAAGCTATAAATTGTTCATGCCTCAAGTTGATATTAATCCAAAAAAGAGACACATATGTATTAGACAACTAACTTTTAATTAAGCAAAATATGGCCTTGCATGCTTGTATCATTTCATTAATAAAATAAATCTTTCGAGTTATGGTTTATGGCTTATATTTAAATAAGAGGGTAAAATTGAATATTCAATCATGATAGGTTATAAGATGATCTATTTGCCGCAGAGAATTATACTTTTAAAGTTTTATTATCTTTGATAGATCGCTTACGTAATCTAATATGATTAAGGTTTTCAATATATACTACCTATCATTTAGATTTAAGCCATATGGAATGCCTATTTTGCATAAGTCAATTTCATACAATCCAAATACATTTCCTTCGTATTCTTCTCGATTCATACCAAATAAAATTCCCTTTTTAGCTCACTCAAATAAGCCCACACAATCTCTTTTTGGAAGTTGGTCAACCCTAAATAAAGTCGTTATTAATTGAAACGCATTTTACAAACAATATCATTCTCCTCAGAGAAACTCCTATGGTGTCGCTGGTTCTAGTGACTTCCTCAACCTTGATAAATTGACTTCCATCTTGAAAGCAAGATTGCTCAGCCTCATTCAAATGACCCTATATGGATCGACCACCTCTCCCAAAAAAAAGTATAAACCTTCTTGAAACCTCGTATAAAATTTTGACCATGTATAAATGGACGTTTGCAAGAACTACGTAAGGTTTTGATGCGGGAGTGGATTCAAATCCCACAATGAACAGTACTTAGAGCAACTTTAATGCTCAAAACCACCATATATCGTAAGGTTTAATTCACTTTTATTTACATTTGAGTGTGATTGACAATATGGAAATCATGTTTTTATGCATTAGTTTAAGGAAAAGTATGTGAATAATCATAACCAATTAACAACGTACTAGTAAGAGCCTGTTCGTTAGAATAGAGGAAGAGACGAGTTCCAAACGTTCGATCTTCCTAATTTATACCCCGTACTTAGATCTCTAATTTTCCTAAGACCATAATCATATAGTGCCTCACCTAATGGAGTCAATGTCGTTTTCTATTTGAAAACGATCACAAACAAAAAGACAGTTTCTATTCGGGTAAAAATAGAGTGGCGACTCTAATTTTTTTTTAGTCAAATTATCGACTTATGTGGGATTTTGACATCTAATTTTAATTAGTCAAAAAATGGGTACCACAATAGCTAAAAAAAAAGGTGACATCATCATTGCATTTAGGCGGGAAATTTTTTATTGAGAAAGTGACACGTCGACAATGGTGATGTCAGCAACTTCTGTTTTAGTAATAGTTAATAGATTAATAAGGGCCTGTTTGTTCACCTTATTTTCACTTATTTCAGGACTAATAAGTTCAGTTGAGGAAAAATAACTTTTGATAAGTGTTATCCAAGTTCAAATTACAACTAAAACAAGTTTTAATAAGTTCGGATACATTCAGTTAAGTTCAAATAAGAGAAAATCAGGTGAATCGAACGCATCAATAATAAGGTAATTATTATGTTAAGGTGATTGAATTGGCATTATAATAATAGAGGTTAGAAGATAAGTTGTTTAGGTTTTATAGATTTGTCATGTCATTATTTATGTGACACTAAGAGCACTCACAACAATGAGCATTTTTTTGTTTCCTCATTCTCTCTCTACCCACTTTCTCTCTCTTCCAATCTTATTTTCCTCATGAGCATTTTTGTGATCATATTTTATCCCATCAATGATAAAAACATGTGTTCACCGTTCTCTCTCCTACCTATTTTAATACCCATCAACCTTTCTCTCTCTTACAATTTAATAACTACACTTGCAATTTCAACATAGGCCCACTACTTACTATTCATCCACAATTTTCCTCATCTGATGAGCAAATTATAAAATGTTCATGAGCATTTTAGCTTTTGCTCATTGATGGGATGAATAATTTTATGCTTTTTTGCTTATCAAAATGCTCATGAGCATTTTATTGCTCACTGCCGTGAGTGCTCTCTTGTTCTGATTGATTGAACTGGACTGAACTGAGCTGAACTGAACTTATAAGAGCTGAACTGAACTGAACTGAGTTGTTCAACTCTAATAAGTTCAGTTCAGTTCATTTCAGCTCTAATAAGTTCATTTTAGTTTAATTCAGCTTTAATAAGTTCAGTTCAGTTCAACTCTAATAAGTTCAGTTCACTTCAACTCATTTCAGTCAATGAGAACAAGCCCTAAGTCATAAGGAATGAAGGGTGACACATGTTAATAACATGTTATCCCTTTGATTTTTAATAACATTATAGATTACGAATAAAGGTCTCTATAATATGTGTTGTTTCGAAAGCTTATACTTCAATACTCCTCCTTGCATGTAAGTCCCCTTAAATTTGGTCTCATGTGATGTGGGGCTGTAGCGCATTCTTTTACTCCCCTCACATGTTAGGAGTCTTGGGACCCACTCAATTTGGTCCATGGTTGGAACCTTTTAATGGTTGTAATGTACTTTGGGCCAAATTGAATGGGTCCATGTGAGGGAGAGTGTGAAAATGCAATCAGGCCCCATGAAACATCACATGTGACCTTATATGTTAGGGGAAGTGTTTGAGACTTGAGGCATAACCTTCCCAAACAACACATGTAAGTGTCCCCACATTGATGAAAGATAAAAGAGTTAAACACTTAACGGGGCGTTTGGCAAGTGGGAATGAGAATTTGAGGATTAGAGGGTTGGGAATGAGATTGGGATTTACAGTTGGGAATTCAATAAAATATTGACAATCCCTTATTTGGAGTGAGAAGGGAATTAATTGGGAATTAATAGCAAATTTACAATAACACCCTTACTAATATTATATCCTTATGCTTTCACTAATGGCAAAATGGTCTTTTTTTTATATATTCCATAATAAAATCATGGGAATAGAGCAATTTTTATTCCCATTCCCAATCCCACTTAGAATTCCCCTTCCCACAAAACAAACAAGGCAATACATACTCCCACCTCCTTAATTCCCATTCCCAAGCCCCAATTCCCACTTACCAAACACCCCATTAAGGGTAAGGGACTACTACTCTTATTGTCACATGATTTTAGGATGGAACCTCCTTAAACTTTTGAAATAGGCTCTCTCTTGATTGTGGGTGTGGCCCAAACCCATATTTAACATATTATGAAGTAGGAAAATTTGTCAGAAACAACCTTTTAAAGTGTCCACTTTATTTAAAACAACCTTTTAAATTTTTTTTTTTGTAATTTCAGACCACAATATAAATTTTTTTTATCAAAGACAACCAAATGTTACTTTCCGGCGTTGCCTCTATTTTTCCCAATGTTGACCACGAGTGTGCGAGTCACGTGACCTCCTATATTGCTTAATACACCCATTTTCCCTCTTTTAGTACGAGTGAATTGGAGGGAAAATTGGTGTATTAAGCAATATACGAGTTCATGTGCGTTGTACACCAGTGGTCAACATCGGGAAAAATAGAGTCAACGCCGGTAAGTAGCATTTGGTTGTCTTTGATAAAAAAAATTTATAATGTGGTCTGAAATTGCAAAAAAAATTTAAAAGGTTATTTTAAATAAAGTGGACACTTTAAAAGATTGTTTCTGACAAATTTTCCTCTGAAGGATCAACTATTTTGTGTTGTCCTAAAAAAAAAACTATTTTTTGTTAATGTTTAAAATTAACTTGACACGTGTAAACCCAATATTGTTTCCACCCAAGGTTAACTTGTATAAATTGACCTATAATCCCTGATACCTGAACTGTTTATAACCCATGACCCTTTATTAAGCAAAATGTACAACCCATTTAATCATTTACAACCTACAACTCCCCTTTAACATCTAGTTACTATAAACAATGAATTATTAAGTATATCTATATGAGTAATATGACTATATTTGATGATTAATTAGTAATAATAAATTGTCAAATCAAATTTGTGTTCGATTATGGATGGAGTCTAACTAATCCGGGTCATACTGGAAAATGGTTCATCCGGGTCAAAATGTAATTTAAATTTTTTAATCTTATTTAAATATGATTGGATTGGGTCAATTTTTGACAGCTCTAGATATGACCATAACTTAAACTCACCTTGTGTCCAATAATTTAAATTGCTCTACATTATCTGCACATGAATAGGGGTAAACAAACCGGGTACCCGGTCAAATTTTTAGGACCCGGACCCGGAATTGGTTGGTACCGGGTCCTAAAATTCGGAATTGGAATGAAACCACTTCAATCGGGTCCTAAACTTTAGGTATTGAAATTGGAACCATCGGGTATCGGGTCCGGTTCCGAGTACCCACTTATGTAAATAATTATTAAATTTTAATACAAACTTAATACTTATTTTGATCCATTTTCATTTTTAGCGTTTAATACTTATATTTATATGTGAATGATTGCATGAACTATTTTAATTAGGTTAGATATTAATAATATATGTTTTTATTTTACTAACTAGATACATTTAACATATTATTTTTTCTTACAAAAGTATATTTAGTTTAATATATATTGGGTAACCAGGTACTCAACCGGTTCCGGGTCCAAAAAATTGGGAATTGGAATTGGAACCGGTTGCAACTGGTTCCTAAATTTATTACCCGGAATTGGAACCACCGGGTCCAATTTCAGATCCGGACCCACCGGTTCCTAACCAGTTTCAGTTCCAATTCTGGGTACCCGGAATTTTTGCTCACCTCTACATATGAACAATTGAACACTTCGCAGTTAGTTGTTATGTGAAAATAGTAACTCAGGTTTTGTCATACCAAATCAATATGATGATATTTTTGTAACATTTACGACAGAGATCAATAGAATAACGTATAACAATCTGCTATATTACATACTCCGTATGAGTAATAAAAAAAGTGGTCAAACTCTCTAACATGACTTTATAAAAAAAAAAATGTTTAAACTTGATTTATTACAAGATTGAGGTACAGAAATACATATTATCTGCATTCATGAATGTTATGTATATATCTGTGAAAGATATCTGTGAAATTTACCAGAAATGCTGGCAAGTGGAAGTCAAATAGAAAAAATGCATAGCCTGATCTAATTCTATTTCATTGGAGTATTTTGGCACAAATCAATATCAATGGCATGAAAAAAAATGATTTTTCTCTTAGCCGATGAATAACTGACTAAGAGAAAAATAAGAACAAAGAATTGATAAATATCTACTGGCACTCGCGCTAAGAATGTCCTATTGCTTCCTGCATCCCTGGAAATTCAGGTTCAACCTCCGAAGCCACATAGCTCAGATTCCTCCCAAATAACATATCTTTCCAAACTTACAAAAGTGTTGTCTATGATGAAGCTGTTAGCATCTCTGATTTGGTTGCATAGCTCCGTCATCCATGATCTTGGCTTGTCTCACAACAGGTGATATCAACTTCCACACTTTATACAAAAATTATAAAGAAAAATGACGGAGGCAGGAAATGATTAGTTAAAATTAGCAGCTTGCCAGCTTCGGCAAATAAACGTTTGAACTTTACTGTTTTATTAACTTCTACACCTCTAATTACCTCAAATTTATACAACTACGAGGCAAGTTCACTAAAGATTACTATATTTTCTTTGTTGTTCGAGACTTGTGTATGGCTTTAGTTGGTTCAAATGTGGAAAATCAATTTAAAATTTGGTCTAATGGAAGATATTGTCTCATACGAAGTATTAGAAATTTAGAAGTCAGTTATAAATAGTTGTTAGACAGTAACAGTAAATAATATTTCCTGCATAAACAAAGCTAATACTCTAATAGGCGTTTTCTGGTAAAGATGCTGAAATTTCTTGGTGATAAGTTGATTGCAAACTAAAATGAAAAATCGCGTTCAAAGTCTATCAAGAGTTTATGAGCACTTACTGTATATGGTGGCTGCAAACCACTCGTTGATAATTTTCACCCAAGTGCTTGCCCATCCAACATCAATACTCCATCTGATCGCGACAAGAAAATTATGCAGTCAATAATAAGATGAGGCGGTTGGCTAACTTAAGGAACAAATATGATTGAGTATTTACTTTTTAGTAGAGCTGTTGAGGTCCCAACTTATGAATAGCATTGCAAAATACATGGCTCCTAAGGAAAACACCAGATGGAAGAATCCATACTTATACGGAATATCATCCTCTTCTTGAACTTCAACTTTACGAAACTGTGGGCAAAAAATTGCAAGAGAGAATATTCCCTGTCAGCTAATTGCACATAAGCTCAAAGACATATTTTCAAAGCTTCTCTGATTCAGCCAGTTAGTTCATAGAATTATGGGCATATATTCAGTATAACAGAAAGAATTAGACACTCGACTTGGCTTGTTTGAAGAAAGGGAATTATGATTTACCTGAAATGATTCGGAATCTATCCCTGTTGAGAAGGTTGCCATTACTATTGCACAAATTCCGATGAAGAAGCTCTGGAGAAGATAGAATGATGTCAGATACCAAGAGCCAAAACTAGGAATCATAACGGCAACCAGTAAACAAAACGAAGGTCATCTTGTCTCGTAATATTCTTCTAAACAAAGTTAGAGCTAATTGCAAGACAAGCCGATGCACTAAAGATACCTATTGTCTAGCGCAGCTCGCAGCTCCAACAACTGCTAAAACTTAGGAAATGCTATATACGTCAAAGATTACTCACCCATTTACTACACATACCAGTATACCACCATAAATGTTTTTGCGACAGTGTATCAAAACTAAATTCTATCCTATTAAAATTCCAGTATCAGCCAAGGATACTTCAGACGAAAATCATACAGTATTAGGGGCTGGAGTGTTTACAGCTAGTGTTCTAAAATTTTTTTAGCAGCCTTATGCTCAAACTGTCAAACAAACATGTTGTATTTCTTCCTTATTAGCAGTCACAGAAATTCAACATCTCAAAGAGTCAAAGATCAAAGTCATACACCATGGTTTCCAGGAAAAGAGAGCATGCATATGTCAATTATATGAAAGGAGCAAATCCCAACCATGTTTAAAAGGCTAATGACTTTTCATCATTCCTAACTTAGCCAAAGAAAAATAAAAGGTAAAATTTAAGCAGGGAAGTTAAAATACAGGAAAACAGGACAGTTTAATACAAGTTCTATTGAATAACTTCAGGAAGCAGAAGAAGTCATACAAACACAGTCATCCAATCGTGATGCCCATCTGCTTGTTTCTGTGGACTGCACTTGTCTCCAGCAGGCTCACTGCAAACGTATTTTCTCTCAGTAATAAGATTAATATTAGATTCATGGAACATTACATTCGTAAACAAAGTTGAGTTTGAAACCAACAGAAAGATAACAAGCATATAGCTTAGTTTGAGAAAAACTACTCAATCAAGACAATGCAGTGGGTGAAGGCCTAATTTTACTCATGAACAAACATATTATACATTTTTCTAGACATTTTACTTATCTATGCCCTATGTTCCTTGGACTCATCATTTCACCGCAAGTATCCAAGGCATGGATACTTGACACGTCATTTTGGACTAACATCGTTGAAATAATTAAATAGCTGGATTCAACAAGTGAAATATGCCCTTGTATAGTCTTCGATGGTGAGGATATGTCCTTTTATATTTAAAGCAAACGACAAAGGATCAGAACATAAAACATATCTAGTTATAAGGGCAATCTAAAGAGGTCCAAGCAAGTCTAGTCATGAGTACCCCAAGTCCAAGTAACATCATTTTAAGTTCCTTGAATAGTTTTCGATGGTGAGGACATAAACATTTCAATTTTAGACCAGATAACAAAGGATAAGAAGATTACTGGAGTAGAGCCAAAACTAAGTGAGAATTATAGTCTTGAAGATAATTGACATTTTCACTTTCCATAGGTAGTTTACTTGTTCTCAATCGCAACCAGCATAAGCATCTTACCTCCTGATAGCAGACCAACAAAGAAAGACAACATAAGCAGCCATGATTCCTGAAGATAGAAGACCTCTGTTGACCTATACAACAATTGAAGCATATAATCAACAAATGTCACATCCACAGTCAAAAGCGTTGCAAATAAATATGAACAATTTCATCGGAAAAAAAAAGTAATATTTGTAGTAAATGATCTGCACCTTCGAATGTAATGAGATAAGCATCATTACAATAAGCAAAACTGCCGTCCACGTGATAAAAAATATGTTTAGTGTGCAGGAAGGTCTTGGAACATACAAGATATATAGGGCAACAACTCCACATATCGAAGCTACATAAAAAAGTGTTGACATAAACAATCCAAGGGAGCAGCTAGCACAAAAAAAAAAGAACCATTATCAGCAAGTTTTATAGCATTAAGCTTATATCGCAAATTATACAGAAAACTGACTAAGAATAGGCCATACATTAAAATGAACAAACAAGCAAAAGTAAAAAAAGAAAGGTATGTTCTATGTATGACACATATGCTTGAGATAGAACTAATTAACTACAGCGTGAACAAAGCTAGAGCAAATTTTTTTGTGAATCAACATCCTCTTCTCCAGTGAAAAAGATATTAATGAAGAATGAAGGAGATTCACAATTGTAAGTACGCTCCATCTTGACATGCAACGATCAAAAGGAGCATCTTTGTTTGAATACTTTAAGTTGTAATGAAGTTGTAAATGTGAGATACACTCATGATCAACTACTACTAAGCAAGTAAGACATTGATTTGGATATCCCATAAATCTATACTACACTTTTCTGACAAAGGGAGCAAAAATCTCAGAACTAATGTAATGTTTCTTCATTCGCAAAAGTTAATGACAGCAGAGCATAGACAAGTATTTTACAAGAACATAGTGTTTTTAAGAGAATGATGTTTGTTTCCTGAAGCTAGAATTCTGGATTAAATGACTTCTGAGCCTAAATTTATTTATTCAGCCAATATTATTTGACCAAATTTAAGAAACTTTAAGTCACACCTTTGCTTCAATTTCACATCAGGCATCCAGTAGTTATTCCACCATGCTATAAATTGAATCACACTAATGAGTTGGAGAGCAAGAAATATCCTGCAAAAAAAAAAATCACAAGAAAGAATTGGTCAATGTATCCAAGAAAATATGTAAGAAACAAGTCAGAAAATGCTCTTTAAACAAAAATACCAAGAAAAAAAATGAGGGTTATCTTGTAATTACTGCAACTTAAGGATTGTACCAATTCTGGTGGAAACACCCTTTTAGACTAAAGGCACTAACAGTTGTTCATTGATTCAGGAAAAATAGCTATGCCAATTTGCTAATCGGTGATGAAACCAAATTGCATAAAGGCTTGTTAGAACATCCTCTATGAGTGCAACAATGTTTTATTTCACTACTTTTTGACAAATCAATAAATTTTCTCCGCAGTTACACGACAGAAACTGGCCACATTGCTAGTAAAAGAGAAAAAACATGATGAACAAGAAAGAATACTTTCTAGGAGATTTTTTTTTTTTATTTTGCAAGATATGTCAAATAGATCAATATTAAAGAGATATATTGTAGGTTTTTATGTTGTGAATAGATTAGCATTGTCAAATAAAAAAGAGTAGGGTAAAGTTAGAAGAATACCCTGCACCAATACGGGCAAACTCGCCTGCACAAAAAAAAAAAAAAGTCTTGATTAATTCGTCTATCATAGATATAGGCATGTAGAACAGTAGAAGTTAAAGAAATGAAATTCATATTTTTGTTGACATAAAGGCTAGAACGAAATTTCCTGATTAATACTTACCATAGAAGTGAATGAATTCTGAAGGAACGAAGAAAGGAGACATCATCGATATAACTAACAGGATGCATTTTACTGGCCACCAACCAGAATGCCAAGCATTACGAACTTCTTGTAGCTTGCTTGTTTTTACTGTTGTGAGAAACATCACAGCGAAAAATATCTGATTAAAGGTTAAGGTTCTAGCAAAGAATTTTAACCTCTTGAAACATAAGTTTAAAGACTGGTGACAGCCTGAAAGAGATATACTCTACATTTTTTACGCGATTTTAAGATAGAATCATTTAGTCTTTGACTACTGCACTGAAATTGGAAGAATTATATTTCTACTTCACTTTACTACCAGGAAAAGTCTGATGTTATGGTTGACAAGTTGATAATATTACAGAAATCAATTCGTTAATATTGAAAATGGATACGAAGCATCCAAAGCTGATCCGAAGGACTCCAATTGTTTGAATGCAGTCATGACCTCCTATTCCACAAGTTCTAAGAACTGCAAAAGAACAAAAAACCTCATCAGCAAATATCACTAGTTTAGGAGCTAAATATCTTGATGTCAATCTAGATCAGATATATTCCTTAAACATTGAACTAATCTCTTATGTAAGTTTTGAAATCAGCACTAATAGTCACATAAATCCTTAGTTGAAAATATTTTATAATAATCTACAACAGCTCAAAGAGCACTTCAAATACATTTGAAGATCAATACCAAAGGTGACCTGGTATGGTGAATTCGGCAATATCCTATAATTATATTTAATCGATTAGACAATCTGATAAGTCATGAATCCATGATCATTTGAATAATGACGCTTGCATATTCGAAATGTATTCGAAAATCATAACATAGCATAGGGCCTTTGTAAAATTTAGATAAATAAATAAATAAACAAAAATAAATTAAAAAAGAAAACACAATTCGTAAAACAATTAGCAGTTTCGATTTAAATTAAGAATTATATTTGTATCAACTCCGTATTCAACTAATTGTTTAATAATCTACTATTTATATAATTAAGTATTTATATCAACCCCTTATTTTATAATTTGGTAGAAACAAAAGAACATTTACAACATAACTTAATTTATTCCCATTATTAGCACTAAGGATGACATTGCCATCTCCTTAAAAATTATGTTCATAACCAACTATTGTACAAGTATCAAATATTTTCAAAGAAAAATAAAATAGTTTGAAAACAAAAATAGTTCTGAGAGCTTACAATGATCTTCAGGGATGACCCTTTGAATATAATCACGAATAATCCACGCGACGAAATTCGTGATCAAGAATATAACTCCATAGTAATACCGAACTCTTAAGGACTTACTCCTCTCTACAGAAATATCAACCGTTTTCTTCTGCTGATTTCTAGACAATTCTTGCAAGTAAACTGCCTCAGACACCCTTATGCCTGTATTTTCCCCTGTCATTCCTGCAATATTGACCAATTACCAAAATTTCAGCCAAATTCAACCACAATCATATTACCCCATTCTAAGTTTGTTGAAATTGTTAGTTGCAATTATTGTTCAATCTACATTCTAACGGTAACTTATCACAATTTTGAAAATTTTATGAACTGACATATTACAACTTACAACTGTCTTTGAAGATAAACTGAGAAAACATTTACTGATATTCTACTTCCCTCTGTTCGGATTTAGTTGTTTCACTTAATATGAAGTGATTTCGGGATTATTGACGTGACAACTAATTCCAAACAATATTATATGAGTAGAACATTGTGATCATGAGACCAGACGCTCCAACAAATCAGAGTAAGAATTTGAAAGGAATATCAAACATTCATACCTTTGGTTGGATCTTCCTCTGTCTTTGTGTCGGGTCTTTGTAGTTAGTATGACTACTAGTTTGAAAGAGTAAAAGACTACCAATTACAATTACCAAACCATTCACATTTCACATGGCGCTTTCTCTCTCTTATAATAAAGGAATTGTTTGGTTACTCGTATTTTGTATGTTTTGTAGTCCCCACAAATCCGAAAGTTCGAAAATGGTTCAAATAAATACTAAAAGTAGAATATAAAATTAATGTTCGAGCGTAAATTTTTTATTTACTTTGTCCTCGGACGAAAACAATCTTAGGCTTAAATACCATCTACTTAAAAGGCTTCTATGTAAGGGACGTGATATAATATAAAATCAATTGGAGAGTTTAAACAATTAATTTTTGACTGGAACAATTAACTTTTGATGGGAATAATTAATTTATCTTTACATAAAAATTTATAAATTTTGTGTTGTGAGGCCAATAAAATGAGGATACCTTTCTCATGACTAAAATAGAATTGATGGCAAACCTTGATCATTAAACTAGAATGTAAAATTGTAAGTGTGGATTCGCGCTAATGTATAGAATGTATCTTTTGTTATGCAATGAAGATGAATAAAAATTATTTGATCATTTTTCTTTGATTTTTATTTTTTAAAGTGGGTAGTATTTTGAGTATGGAAACCCATTAATAGGAGCTACTAGCTACTTGACATTTTTTTTTTTGTTTTTTTTTACTTGACCAGTATCATTTAACTTATCATGCTTGCAAATACATAAATTTAACCATCACTACCTTTAAGTAAAAATTGTAACGAATAGATATTATGATAGGATTTAAGTTGTAAAAAAATAGACGGGATAAATTTAGAGATACAATTCAAACATTATCCTAGATGGCTATATTTTCTTACATATAAACCACATAAGACAATCAAATATTAGTGTATAAATAGTGCAAAAGTCAAAGTATCTCAAGTAAAAAGGAGTGGAAGAATTATGTTAAAAGCACCCTATTACCAATTGTTTTGTCAAACTCTTTCTTAACGTTTAAAAATCTAAATATTCCTTTCCAATCTAAATAAGTGTGTCACTCTATATGGCGAGCGCGTTAATTCACAACTATAATCATTTACATCTTTAATTTTGTTCTTCATATTAATTTAACTTGTTAAAAGTTTCATATCATAAATATATGCATTATGGCTAGTCATATAATCATCATTGCTAAATACAAAGTTTTATTGGTCGGGGTTACTCGAGTTACTCGGTGTGGGGATACTTGAGGGGCTCGGTCATGGGTTATGATAGGCGTGTCGCGTACCTAACAAAAATAAACCTAACTAGACCACTACTATGTAGACGGGCAAGCAAGGGTCGGATCCCAAGAGACTATGGTTCAACTAATTAAATAGACTCAAGTAAATACTAAGCAAGTAACCAAATCAAATAATTGAGAATTAATAACTAAATATCAAGAGCGACGATTAAACTAAAAAAATGATAATCAAATAATAAAAACATCCAAGATCAAGCATTACCACGAACACAATTAATGCAATAATAGTTTTACCCCTAACATATAATTCAATTGATTAAAGAGGAAAAGTAATCCCTGAATATTACCAATGGTCTCTCCCGAGTTATCAATGGCTTCCCTAATCACAATCAAGCCTACTTCCGTGGAATCATGTAAATTAAAGACTTTGAGCACATTACTCTAACTTCCTAATCATCCATTCAACTACTCTCGTGATGAATTTCAAACCCTTAATTGATTTATTCAAATCCGTCAAAACCCAACTCCCGTTGCGATTAAAACAATGGATTAATAACAATACCAATTATCCCTAATATAGTATTGGCATGAGCACAATCAATTAAGCATATCAATTGCAATTATCATTAGAGAATTTAAAGAATTAAATCTAGCATTAATCATATTCGGGTTTCGCTAGATCTTGGAATAGGGAAACTACTCACACATATTAATGAAATCAAGAATAATAATCAATAAAGAAAACATAATTAACAATAATAAAATAGAGAATTGAGAGAAGAAAAAAATACTTGGAATTAATTATGAAATCTTGAATCTTGAAAGCAAAACCCTAGAAAATAATACGGAAGAACGTAATACCCAAAAAGAAGTCTAAAATAATATATGAAAATGTGATTAAAAGTGATAAATAAAAGATTATCTAAAACCTATTTATATCCTCTCATAAAACTAGGTATTTCTATCTTAATAGGACTCCTAAACGCTGCCAAAACGAGCTGCCACAGGTGGGTTGTGGCATGAAGAAAACCGCCACAACCAGGCTGTGGAGCGGGCTGTCTTCGCCTCTCCTTTGCTCCGATAATGGACGCCCACAACCAGGTTGTGGCCATAAGGTTGCACGCCATAACCAAGCTATGGAGTAGGCTGCCAAAATGCTCCATTAATGCTAGAAACGCTCCATATAAAAAAATATCTCGCGATCAAAATAAATTCCATGCAAATCGAGCCCTATTCCTATAAAAACAAAAACAAACAAACCGAGAAGAGTAGTATCGAAATAGAAAGAATAATAGCTCAAAAAGATTAGGAGAATGAAGAAAACATAATAAAACATGACCAAATATCACATATAAATCGTGTATAATATCGTGTTATTAGGTTACCAAATCATGAATTACTTAAGGGGTTCAGTCAGGGATTACTCGGTTAGGGGTTACTTGATCAGGGGTTACTCGGTCATGGGTTACTTGAGGGGTTCGGTCAGGGATTACTCGGTCAAGGGTTACTTGAGGGGTTATCGATCAAGGGTTACATACTTGAGGGGTTACTCGTTCAAAAAGTACATAACCCTTAACTCAGTAACTCAAGTAACCTCGACCACACAGTGTGGTCAGGCACATAATGAAGGGCATGTTCATATTCTGAACTGAAATGATTGGAGCTAAACTGAACTAAATAGAGCTGAAATGAATATTTTATGAGAGAAGAAAATTAGGAGCTGAACTGAACTGAGTTGGACTGATTGGAGCTGAAGTGAACTGAACTGATTGGAGCTGAACAGAAACTGAACTGAACTAAATTAATTGGAGCTGAACTGAACTAAAATTAAGCTAAAGTGAACAGGCCCGAAATCCCCAATTATTTTTTTTTAATTTTTTTTGACACAAAAATCCCCAATTACTAATTAATCAAGTCAAAGTTATTTTTATGTGAATAGTACAAATTAATGGCAAAAGTGATACACTTACTCCAATACGGGGAAGAAAGTATTTGGTAGCTCTTACAAATTCTGATCCATCAAGATTAGTATTAGTTTAACTTATTTAATACTCTTAATCATTAGTCGTTACCTTTGTCCGCAAGATACTTCTATAGTCCTTATATTGAAAAATTGATCAATCTCTATTAAATGCATGTAGAAATGATTCAGTAAATACTACCTCCGTTACACATTATTTGCAACGATTAGACATTTTTCCTCTCTACTTTATGTCAGATCGTTGCAAATAATATGTAACGGAGGTAGTAATAACCAATTAACCATGAATCACTAGATCAAGGTTAAAAATTATTAAGCATAACACGCAAGATGTAAGACTCACAACGTTCCTTGCAAATAAAATTTCGTTAACCAAAAAAGATTGATTTTACGGCAAGTAAAATTTCGTTAACCAAAAAGATGGATTTAAGGGCCAAATTTCCATATGAGCCAAATAAATCAAGACAAATTAAACTATTTGGCTCCTCTTTAAACTATAATAAAGTGGGCCCTAAATTTACTATTCGTTGCTAAATGACTCATTGTTAGCGGTGCTCGAGGTCATTTTTATAATTTTTTTTTGACAAAGAGGTCATTTTTATAATTAATTGAATGATAACCACATTATTTTTAATTTATATAATTAGGTATCATTTGGTTCACATGATAATTAGATCTTTTCATGAATTGCAAATTTATGGAAATCAAATTCCTATAATCAAATTTATGGGAATTTTCAAAATTTTTGGGATAAGAGTTTATTCTGTATACTTTATTTTCACTTATTTCAGGTCTAATAAGTTAAAATAAGTTTAGATAAGTTCAATTCAGAAAAGGAAAAAAAAAATTCTTATAAGGATAATCCAAATTCGAATTACAGCTAAAATAAATTTTAATCAGTTCAGATAAATTCAATAAGTGTAGATAAGTTCAGTTTAGTTCAAACAAGTTCAGATAAGTTCAAACTCAGATAAGCGAAAATTAGCTGAATTGAACACACCGACGTTATTGAAACTTAGGCCCTGTGTTGTTCACCTTATTTCCACTTATTTCAGGGTTAATAAGTTCAGATAAGAGTTAATAACTTTAGATAAGTTCTACAAAAATAAGTTCAGAGAATTTGTGATAGGGTTTAATCAAGGGCCGGTACCAAGTTTAATTTATAACTAAAATAAGTTCTAATAAGATCAGATTAGTTAAGATAAGTTCAAATAAGATCAGATAAGTTAAAGATAAGTTCAGATAAGTAAAAGTAGGTGAATAGAACACATCCTTATTGGACCTAATTAGACCTTATTATTGAACATTATTAGAACTTATTGGAATTTAGGGCTTGTTCACTTCAGCTTAGTTTTAGTTCAGCTCCAATTCAATCAACTCGATTCAGTTCAGTTTAGTTCAGCTTCAATCAGTTAAATTTAGTTTAGTTTAGTTCAGCTCCTAATTTCCTTCTCTCATAAAATATTCATTTCAGCTCAGTTTAGTTCAATTTAGCTCCAATAAGTTCAGTTCAGCTCAGTTTAATTTAGTTCAGTAAATGTGAACAGACCCTTATTAGTCCTTATTTAAGTTATTGAAACTTTTTAGACATTATTTACTTAATAAGGGTGTGTTTTATTCACCTAATTTTCACTTATCTGAACTTAATTTATCTGAGATTATCTGAACTTAACAGAATTTATCTGGCTTATCTTAGCTTA